TATGTAACTAACTTAAACAATAGATCAAAGATGAATACGAATTTTTCTTGGTACCAAATCTGACCTAATTATTTTAGAAAGTTCAAAACTAAAATTCATGCAACTCAAGAAATATAAATGAATTCTAAGGATATGGTTAGTTTCAGGGCTGTGTTGTCTACATTTTATCTTCACAAATGGAAACCAAATGATGCCTATATGAAGAGTTCAAAAGTCAGAAAACTCACCTTGAAAATGGAATTCATGTTTTGAGTTTGAGCTTGCTTCAAGGTACTGCAATGATCTGGTTAGCTCCCTTGGACCTCTAGGAAGCTAATGCAGTGCTTAGCTTGAGTTGAGAGTGGCTGAATCTCCTTGTAGAAGTCAATGTGTTGGCTTTTGGTTTTGAGTTTGGAAGAATATGAAAATGGAGTTAAAGAACTGTAACAGGTGTTAGGATGGATTATGTTTGATGTATAGAAGCTTTGTTAATGAATTATAGGGAAAACGCACGAGTGGATTATGAGATTGAAGTTTTTGGCTAGAAATGACAAGTTATGGAGGGTTGGATGCAACTCAGAGTTCTAAGGAGTTTGAGTGAGTTTTAGGGCTCTTGAATTTGTGTGTTAGGTTGCAAATGACCTCTCTATTTATAGGCAAGTGGTTTGACATCTTGAAGTAACCAAAATTTTAAGATAACATGTTATGGTTTGGTTGAAAATGAGAAATCAAGTAGAATGGATTTTCATAGTTCCAAGGTTCAAGTACAAGCATGGTCTTAGTTTGTTGGGTGCAGGGAGGTTGCTTCTTCACTTTACAACGGAGTGTGATCATATGAAGCACGTGAGAGGATCAATACAAGAATGGAAATGGTAACTTTGTGCCAAAAATGGAAAATTGTCTGGGGAAATGGCTCAACACTTGGATAATAGCTCAATTAATTGGGTAAACATTTAATTATGGAGTGATTTGCAAGTTGGAAGGAATGCAAACCAATATTATGCAGCATAGCTATGGGATTAGGTTATGTGTTCTTCATGAAAATGCCTTGTATTCAAGTTTATCATGCCAACTTCTTCTCTTCGATTCTCCTAGCTCAAAAATGACCTCTTTAAGTTCTTTTACATTTCCGAAAGCTTGAAACATCCTATAAAACCTTCATGTTTACCATTTTGATATAATCATCTTGGGGCTTGGTGAAAATTGGCCAAGAAGTTAGGTAAAAAATTTGCCTAAACTAGGTCAAATTTTCAGTGTTTTTACAAAAAGTGCATGAATTCATGGATTTATAACTCAAAATCCAAGAACTTCTAGGACTTCATCAGTAAATAAAAATTGTATATATCATCAAGATCTACAACTTACATGTTGAAATTTTTCTTTGAATCATTTTTTATCATGGTGAAAAATTGGCATGAAGTAATGAAATTGTCATGTATAAAACACTTAGAAAAACTTACAAGTCTTGAAAAGTTTGGCTTTTCACATTGACTTTTGACTTTCTTGATTTATTGATGATAAAGCTTCATATTTTTGAATTTCTTTATGAATTGTGATCTTTGAAATCAAATCTTGATAAAAAAGTCAAAGTTTGACTTTTTTTGCATCAGTTGACATTTCATTAGTTGATCAAATTTCAACTATGAATTCAATAATCTTGAGAAATGTTTTGAGCCATGAAATTAGGTCAACATTTTATGCTTTAATCCTTGAGATCATGCTTCAAGCTATTAGATCATGTATTAGGTCAAAAGTCACTGATCAGTCAATTACAGTCAAAACCCTAATTTTGACCATTTTGCCCCTTTGGTAAATTGAGTGCTTTTCTTGAGGGATTGTGATCAATACTTAATAAAATGATGAATAGGACTTTAAAATGTTGATTTTGGATAAAAATCATGAAGTTTTACTTTAGGTTGACTATAGTTGACTTTTAACCCAATACAGTTGATTTTAAGTCATCTGGTCAATTGACTGAGCAAATTTGTGATTCAAGACTTGAAACTTAACATTGGTATTATTGGAGGTCTATAATGATCCATGAAGTTCATTTGAAGCATTAGAGCAAGTACCAAAATTTGAAAGTGTCCTACTCAACAAAATTGAAAGAGAAGGATGAATTGATTAAGATTATTGAGAGTCATGCTGTGGAGATAATGGAGGAGCAAGAGGATTTATTTTCCTCGAGTTCAGTCGGGTCCTGGTGACCCGTTTTATGATTCTGGTGAATGGAAAGAAATTATCGACAAGTATTCATAAGAGAACAAACAGTTGAAGGCTCGGATTGCAAGACTCATGGGAAAGCGTCAGTGCGTGCAGAGATCTTCATCAGCTTTAGCTCCTTAGGATTTTAAAATTCTATCTTTATCCTCTTGTACTTAGGATTATTGAAACTTGTACTAAAAGTTATAATCCATTCCAAAGTTATTATTAAAATGATAATTTTTCAGTATTTCCAAATGTGTTAATTCCTCAATTTTTGCAATTGTTTATAATTTTTGAGTTCCTTGAATAAACACAATAAATCACGTGCATTGCATATCATACATAATTTTTCACATATTTCTTGCACTCTTATATTTCACAGGTGTCTTACTTGTTTCTCTGCTTCGTTCAGTAAGCAAGTTATCTCATTGCTACAATACTTAGGCTAACTCTAGAAAGAAGATAGAAAATCTTGAATAAGAGAATCGTGAGTTGCACGAAGAAGTTACTGCTTTGAGAGATGGTATGGCCAACCTAACTTCTTTGGTAGAATCATTAGTGGTTGCTTAAAACCAGCCACCACCTCCTCCTCTGTCTCCTCATGCTACCTAGCCACAACAGACGACCATTATTTCAGAGGTTATGTCAGCTCTCATCTCTGTTACTCCAGTTACTGCTGCTAAATATCATATGCATTGCGGTTACCCGTGGGTAATGCTTGAGAATTTCATGCCAGAAGGTTACAATCCCGCTGCTCAAGTTGCTTTATTTGTTCATACCGCTGATGTTTCGGCACGTCCTGTGGTACATGTTGTTCCTGTTGTTAATAATGAGATTCATCATGTTATGCCTCATACAATGAATGATATGCCTATTATTAATGATGAAGTTTATCATCCTGCTCCTCCACCAAGTGAAAGTTTGGGCTTCTATGACCAATTTGATGACTTCTAAGATAAATTTAATGAAATGCAGAAAGAAGTGAAGGCTCTCCAAGGGAAAGAGTTATTCAGATAGAATATTAGTGACCTCTTCTTGGTTCCTAATGTGAATGTGCCAACTGAAACAACCGGCTGAAAATCATCAAACAATAAAGTCGCCATCGAACGTCTTTTATCCCACATGTAAGGAAAGGTAAACATCGAGAAAACCTGAGGAGGGAGAAGTCACGGTCTTGCGACTGAGAGATCGGGTAAGGGAGTCTGTTACGTGAGGGGAAGGTATTAGCACCCCACGCGCCCGTAGTACTCTACGGTATCCACTCTTGTTATTTATCTTATGGGTGTGTTTAATCTATGCTTACTGTTTATTATACTACTGGAGGAATGCATGCAAAAGAAAGGGGAAAAGAATGTAGGGAAAATAAAATTGTGCTCGCTTGGGCCCTACCCCAATGCCTACGTATCCGTTTTGAGGAATCAGAGCTACCGTAGTTTGGCTCACACGTTTTGTTTGTTTTGTGTTTTTTATGGACGAAGTTAATTCCGCCTTCTGCCGTAGCTCGACCTTTGGAGACTTATGCGTCGGCACCGAAGTAAATTAATCGTGTCCTTACCTGAAAAGGGTTTTAAAGAAAAGTGCTCGAGCGCACAAAAGATTTGATTTTGTTTTGTATTTTTGTTGTAGATGATGACTGATTGACCTCAAGGGAGAGATATTAGCCATTTTTCTACTTAGTCATGAAAGGATTCTTTGAGAATTGAACCACACCTATGCTTGAGATGAGGAACAATGAGATCGAGAAGATACCCGCTTATCATTTCTCGTACTAAGCAAAAGCATGATTCTCATCAATAGTTTTAAAGTGTTTTGAATTTTGAAAGAAAAAGAAGTTTTTGTTTTAGATGCGTATGCGAAAAGGAAAGAAAATTTAAAGGGGAATCAACCTATTTCTAAACCTAATTTTATTGTGCGTTAGTAGCCATAAGATTTAGGTTAAAGGGGAAATTTCTACCTGATGTTAGTATGCATATGGATTTGCGATAAAGTACAGAAATGAAGAATAAAATAGATTTGTGACGATACCGAACGGAGAAGGTCCGTTGCCTCTTCAAAATTGTGCAAGCGATAAGAAAACTCTACCGAAGCTTCACACAAACTAATCCTCAAGAATTTCGTATCCTAAAAGTTGCATCAACATTCTACCACAAAACTTGCAAATCCCGTGAACATTCAATGACACATAAAGCCTATTCCTATCAAGTTTATGATACTTTTTATAAGTTTAAGCAAAAGCAAACAATTAATCAAGAACCTAATATTCAGAACCAGCCATTAAACCACTCATCATGCCAAAGAAATTGAATCATGGATAAGGAATTGACAAGAGCACCTAAAAAATAATTCTAACCATTTTCAACATTAATTCAATTAATCCTAAAACTTATAGAAAAGTATCATCTAATCAGAAATAAACATGTTAATGTTCATAACAAAATTCAACAAAAAAATCCTGCAAGAAACTCACAGAATTAATTGCGAAATTTAAAGAACAAAGTAAAGAAAATAGAGAAAGTTGGGAGGTGTTCTGGATTAAACAGCGGTGTGAATAAAGGTCCAAAGATCATGAGCCCAAACCAATAGCCCTCAGATTTTTTCAATTCATTTACTATTACTAGCATTATTATTAATTTAAAATAAAAATATAAAATAATAAAACAATTAAACTAAATGAAAAAAAAAAGCATATGAAATTGGAAAGGGAATTTAGGGTTAGAATAAAATGTCTCTTCCTCTCCTTCACGAACGCGGCGGTCTCCTCTCTTCGCTTACGGCGGCGGAAGCTCACAGTCTCTCATCTTCGTCCACCGATCACCATGGTGCTTTCATCACTGTTCAGTAATCTCAACCTCCTGTCTCTGTTTGAATCAACGTCAGACCGGTGCAAAGGCTTTGATCTAAGCTCCGATCGGAACTACAACGATCGAAAACTGTCTGATGCGTTTTTGACGGTGACGAACAAGAAGGAAAGCCATAGATGCCGAATTGTATTTGAGGTATACAATATTTGATTCTTTCGTTTTCTTGTTCTTTTTTCTCCCTTCGCGTTTTCTGATTATCCTCTTCTTCTTCTCTCATTTCTTTGGTTCGCGCTTATGATGTGCTTCTGTTTTGTTGATTCCTATTGTTGTTATTGTTTGCAGTAGCCGTTTTGTTCTTGTGTATCATTTGTTGAGCACGGATCAGAGATGCAAGATTGTGAAGATTGAAGGTTGGGGAGTTGCAGAGATGGAGGTTTAGGGAGAAGAAGGTTGAGGTTTCAGAGTGTGAGTTCAGAGAATTTGGAGGATTGAGATGAGGATGGTGATTGTGATGGTGAAATGATGCGTGGATGAATGTGGATGAAGGTTCTGAAACTGGAAAAATGGTGAGAATTATGGAGTGAAGATGAAGAAATAAAGGTTTGTACCGAGAGAGTGAAGGAAGAGTTTCTGAGGATTTTTCTCTTGGTGAGTTTCTTTCTTAATGTAAAATAATCGTCTATCCTTTTCTGACTGTGGTCTTTTTATTATGTATATGCTGGAGTTTTGTTGGTTAGGAGGTCGTTAGGTTATTGGGAAAAAATGGAAAGTTATTCTGTTTTGTTATTGTTAGAGATTCTTTTAGTTGGTTAGAATTTGGTTAGGGGTGGTTAGAGAGGTTGTTATAACAGTTTTGGTTGTTTGTTAGTTATGCTGTTAGAAGTGGTTAGAAGGTTTGAGAGTTTGTTACGAATTGGTTATGGACATGGTTTTGGTTGTTTTACAGTGTTAGAGATTCTGTTAGGTGGTTTCAGTCTTAATGACTGAAGAGGTTCCTTTATTTGCAGATTGACCTATGCGGGGAGGTCTTCTCTTGCCACTTTTTCTCTCAACTTGGCAGGTTCACTGGGAACCGGAGATGGTGGATGTCTTCCTGGTAATGGAATTCGCAACATCTGCAGTGCGAACACTTGGAGATCTGTCGCCAAACCATTCATCCTTTTGATATCAGCTACCTCAACTCCCTACTTAATTGTGACACCAGCAGGAGTATCAAATTTCGAAACATAATGTTCAATATAACTCAGCCCATTACCACCACCAACATCACCCTTGCTGCCACCGTTCTGCAACCCATTTGACGGCGACATCTACTCCGATCAACCACCGAAAGCAAAGATCTAAGATCTAAAAACACAAGAACATGAAATTGACTTGGAAGAAGAAGTTGGTGAGAGAAGAATCGTTTCAGAAAAAGAAAGCAAAAGAGTCAAAGAAAAATCTAATCTTGAAGAAAGAAAATGAAAGAAAAGTTGAAGATGGAATTGAAAATACAGAAGAAGAAGAAGAAGAAGAAGAAGAAGGTTAGTTATAGTTTATGGTGTTGTAAGTTACTTTGTTATAAAATTTATGTGCAGGGCTGCCTTTATTTTTTTGGGTTACGGAATTGGTTTTGACAATTGGAAGTGTAGTGTATGCGGTTCATGCTTATGACAGTTTATCCAATGTTTTTGCAGGTTTGGTTCATATCAGGGCTATTGGGAAGCAAAGGCAAAAGGAAAACACCAAGATGATATGAAGTTGGAACAAAGACGCATAACATGAAGTTTTGGAAGCTTGAAGTTTGAAACATGAAGAATGATTGAAAATTAGGATAGGTTTTGGTAAAAAATGTATAGATGTTATGTATAATTGTAATGGAATTTTGACTTGTATGTATTTGAATACACATTGGAATGTATGTTGACTTTATTTCCACATAATGAAATGGCCTTTGTATGAATTCAAATAGATGGTATGAATCCAAAATATTTGCAAGGTAACCAAAAGAGACATGAATCTTGAATGAATCCAAGAGAGGCTATTTGGACAATATTTTGATGGTTGGATGAATTTGATGCATGCTTTTTCATACTTGTGGTTTGAATTCCAAGAAAAGCCACGCAAATATTTAAGAACTTTGATTTTCTCCAAATCCACTTCAAATATTAATGAATGAATTCTAATCAAACTACAGCTTCAGTGAATCCCTAATTCAATTCAATTTTCTGATCTAAACCAAATCTGCGTGTCAAGCAAATAAGCATTTGAGATAATGACACCTTGATCACAATCAACATCTTGTACCATCTCCCGACTATATGAGCACTAGAACAACGACGTCTTGGACCCCTTCTCAATAGATGATAATTACCATGCCCTGAGGGATTCTTTGCAGATGAATATGAAAGATGATACATGCGAATACCTTGATATGGAATGAACCTCAGGTAGAATGCTGAAAAGCTCAAGTATGAAAATGTATAAACCCTGATTTTTAGCTTCGTCTCATAAAACCTTGCAACTTGACATTGAGAAGAAAAGGATAGCCTCGTAGCTTGATGATGATAAGGTCCATGAAATGAAAACCTAGCTTCAAATAAATTATTAATGGAGAAATCAACTGAAACAAGCTTGTGCGAAGATGAGAGCCTTAAAGCCATACACCAACCCTTATTCCTCGAAATCCATGATCTTATGCCAATTTATCAATTAATGATGCATGATGTGTTAGATGACCTAATGTGAGAAAAATGCAAAAATGCGTAAGCCAGATAGGAAGGGTAGGACAAATTTGGGGTATTACACCAACAAAGTTTAAATACAAGAATTAGAGAAGTATAAGGGCAACTCTTGTCCCCATGACCACTTGGTGTTGTATATCAGAAAGATGTCCACTCATACTGATGGCCAACGCTTGCTTATTCATTTCTTCCAGGATAGTTTAACTGGTGCTTCCTTGAAATGGTATATGGGATTGGACAGTAGCAACATCTACAACCTTCAATGATCTGGGTGAAGCTTTCATGAAGCAGTATATGTATAACATGTTTATGGCGCCAAATCGTGACCAATTAAGAGCGATGGCCGAAAAAGATAAAGAATCATTTAAAGAGTTTGTGAAGCATTGGAGCAGGGTTGCTTCCTAAGTTATACCCCCGATGGGAGAGCAAGAAATGACTAAGGTCTTCCTAAAAACCCTTGGTTCATTTTACTATGAGAGGGTGGTTGTGAGTACACCAAGTGATTTCACTGAGATGGTAAGTATGGGTGTGCGTCTAAAATAAACCGTTAGGGAAGGACAATTGACAAAAGATGAAGGTTCTAGTGGAGCAAAGAAATCCTTGTACGAGTTTTCTAAAAATAAAGAACGTGAAACAAATGTTGTCGTTGAAGAAAGAAGGGTTAGAACTCCAAGAAGACGCCATTAGCATCAATAACAGGTTGCTTCTATAACCCCGATTGTCAATGTAACTCTAACTTTTGTTTCCTATCAGAGAGCACCACAACAAAGTAATCAAGGGTAGGGTCCGAAGAGAGAAGCTTTTGATCCTATTCCGATGAGTTTTCAAGAATTGTTTCCAGCTATTATTTAGAAGAAATTAGTGCAGACTAGGCCTCCCCCTGCTATACCTTCAACTTGACCATGGTATTATAAGGCGGACCAGACTTGTCCTTTTCATCAAGGAGCCCCTAGGCACAACATTGAAAATTATTATTCGTTGAAGTGTGAAGTGCAGAAGATGGTAAGATTTGGTCTCCTGTCTTTTAAAGATGTCGGTCCCAATGTGAAGGATAATCCATTACCCAAACATGAAGATAGAAGTAATGTGAATATGGTTACTGGTTGTCCTGGGGATTTCAATATTTTTGGTATCAACCTGGTTAGATGTGATTTAGTGAAGATGCATGCTGATCTCTGTGAGTTTATCTATTACACACAAGACCATGTTGATTATAGTGTTTGCAGTTCAAATATCCATGCATGTGATAAAGAGAGATTTTATCTTCAAGATATGATGGATGAAGGTATTATCTACATAATAAGGCCAAGGGATGAATATGAAGAAGATGTGAATATGGTTTATGGTTGTCCCAGAGAGTTCCGGATTTTTGATGTAAATTATATGAATGATGATCTAGTAGAGCTGCACGCCACATTTTGTCACATAGATGGCCAAGAGGTACATCATTATGGGTCCTGTCAGACCTACTGTAGGGATTCCCATGGTTGTTCGGTTGTAAGAAGAGGTGTTCAATTATTGTTAGATAATGGTACTATCAGTGTCACAGGCAACATAGATGATTATAATGGAGTTAATATGATTAAAGGCTACTATGTTGAGTCCATGTCTGATTATGATTATGTTTCTACTTATGAGTTCTTTTCTTCTAATGAAAGTATATTTTCTGATAATGATTCTGTGATTCCTAAGTAATCTGAAGAAGTAGTGGTAAATGTCATTGTGCCATATTTTGGTGTTCCCGCTCCTATAGAGATTGCGTACCACATCAAGCATGTTGTTGCCCATGTAGTTATTTTTCTGCTTGGTCTTTATCCCATATAAATCACATAAAGATGTGCCTTATAAGTACAATGCAACTATCCTGGAAGATGGTGTGAAATTTCCTATCCAACCTTTGTCCCATGTTGAGAATATTGCTGAAGCTAGTCGGGTAACTGATAGTGACCATGTCTTCGCCCCTGTCGTTCGAGGAGATGTTAATTATGGTAGGAAGGTTGTTGAGAATGTTAAACCTAAGAAAGTGGTAGGAGAATCTACTGGAGCCACATTGAAAAGGATGTTGATGGTCTATTGAAAATCATCAAGATAAGTGATTACAAGATTAAGGATCATTTGTTGCAAACTCCAACAAAGATTTCCATTTTAGCCTTGTTGATGAACTCCTTTGCTCATCGGGAATCTCTGATGAGGGTGTTGGATCAGGATTTTGTTGAAAGGGATATGTCTTTGGACCAGTTCAATAGTGTTGTGAGGAGTATTACATCCTGTAACAATCTGAGATTTTGTGATGATGAATTTTCTGATGAAGGGAGAAACCATAACCTGGCTCTGCATATATCTATGAATTGTAAGAATGACACTTTGTCCAATGTTTTGATAGACAATGGATCTTCTTTGAATGTCATACCAAGAAGAACTCTCATGAAACTTAAGTACCAAGGAACTCATATGCGCCCAAGTGGTATTATAGTAAAATCTTTTGATGGTTTGAGAAAGTCCGTCGTTGGAGAGGTGGATTTACCTATACACATAGGTCCGTAATTATTCCAAATCACCTTTCAAGTTATGGATATTTGTTGCACCCCAAAATTTACCCTCTTGAATTAGGCTTATGTTTCATCATAAATGTCATGTTGCATTCATACATTATGATAGGATCAAAGTATTTTTGTTATCAAGTTTTCTTTAAGCTTTGGAAGTTAATTGTATTGATAAATTTGCTCAAGGAGGGTCTTATCATCTAAACCTCTAGATCTTTGAAGCCCAAATGCATCACATATCTCAAGATATCTTATCCACCTCATTGGATCATCAAAATATTGAGTATTTTTCTCTTTATAAGGAGAATCATATCCTTTGGATTCATCAGTCAAAATTAGGGTTTTTCCCAAATTGGAGTTTTTGGGGTTTGGATGAGCCAATTATTGAAGCATCATTCTATTATTATCATTGGAATCAAATTTGTTCAAGAAGCCTCTCATGATGCCCAATAGAATTAGGGTTTTGAAGTTTGATCAGTTATCTCCTAATATAGAGTGCAAAACTAGGGTTTGAGTTTTAATCAGGGATTCTTTGGAATTTTGAGTTGAAATTCTTGCCATATCCTCTATGTGTCTAGAATATCATATGTTTTAATTTTTGTTCACCAATTTTGAAGAGAAGTGGTTCAATTGAATCAAAGGGGAAAAACAGTCATTTTACTCAAAAGTCAACAAAGTCAAAGTTGACCAAATGAACTTTTGGTCAACATGAAGAATTTGACATGTATTTTAATATGGGATGATCATTGATGATTGATTTTGATGAGAATTGCAAGTTTGAGAAGTTACTAGGATTTGAAGTTATCTTGGTGATTGAAAATTTCACTAAGTATTCTTGATTTTGGCCTGACTTTGCAAGGGCATATCTTTCTCATTTTTAAGGGGAGTTTGGTGGTTCTTTTTGCCAATTGAAGAGGGGAAATAGATCTACAAGGGCCCATATTGTACAAAAAACACACTTCTT